ACATTCATCAGCCCGTTTCCCAAACCCCGTGCCCCAACTGCATCCATTCCATCAAAACGCCTCAATGCATCCCCTTCCCAAGCCAGCCATCATCTCCCTCCTAACCTCCCTCGTCACAGCCAGCATCCAGAACGACTCCTCTCCCCCCGATCCGCTCCCCCTCCTCCCACCAAACTCCACCGCGACGCCACCAAACTGCTCACCCGCGGACCCATGGTACCCGTCCGCCACCTCCATCCCCGCAAACCCCACCTCCATCCCCGCAAACCCCACCTCCATCCCCGCAAACCCCACCAGCACCACCCTCCTCAACGCCTCCTCCCCGGACGCCCCCAGAATCATCCGCTCCGGCCGCAACCTCCGCCTCGCCGCCCACGACCGCATGGACGGCACCTCGGCGCCCAAAACCTACGGGGAAGCGCGACCCCGACGCCCCCCGGCTCGCCCGCTGGGACGCCAACCTCCCCCTCCGCATCCTCGGCCGTTCGTCCTTCCACCCCCAACCTTCCCCAACCGATCAAACCCCCCACCCTCCCACGCAGCCGACGCCCTCTGCGCGCTCGACATAACGCACTCGCCGCCGTGGACGGGGTGCCGGGAGCTGGTGGACCACGATGCCGGCGGGGGGGGGAGGAGCGGTTCGGGCCGGCGGGGGACGTGCTGAGTCGGGTCGTGGTGCCCTGGAGGCGGACGACGGGGGAGGGGAGGTGTGAGATTGTGGGTTTTGGGGGGTTTTATGTTGTTGTTGTTGTTGTTGTTTTTTTTTTCTTTTTTCCCCGTCTCGTTTGGGTTGGTGCGGGGATGAGGCGGAGGAGGAAGAAGGGGAAGAAGGAGAAGAAGAAGGAGAAGAAGAAGAAGGATGAGAAGAAGAAAGAATAGCTAACAATATCAATATATATCCCCCAGAAAATCGCCACACTATCCACAACGAACATGAGCCATTTTTCCAAACCGTGTCCGGCGTGGATACTCTATGCATCATCAACACTCAAGCCATCACGTCCGCGCTTTTCCTTTCCTTTCCTTTCCTTTCCTTTCCTTTCCTTTCCTTTCCTTTCCTTTCCTTTCCTTTCCTTTCCTTTCCTTTCCTTTCCTTTCCTTTCCTTTCCTTTCCTTTCCTTTCCTTTCCTCTCCCCATTGCTTTCCTTTCCTTTCCTTTCCTTATCCCCATCGCCTGTGTGTGGGCTTGTATGGGAATCGTGTCGTCGAGCTCACGGATTTGGTATCGAAGGCCGGGACGCTCAACGCATCATCGACTGGGGTTTTGGAAGAGCGGGATGGGATGGGACGGCGTCGTGATGGTTTGAGTGTTGAGGAAGGGGGATGCATGACCATGGAATAGCGGTTGGGTTCTTGTGTTTGTGGTTGGGAAAGGGTCTTGGGGATGAGAGAGAGGAAGGGCGATGATCTCGAAGCGGACAGGTTGATACATGTTGTGAAGGCAATAGTATGCTCGTGGGAATATCGCTATGATCGAGCGCTCAAAATCATATGCCTGGATGAGATCGACCAGACTCATGTTCGTTAAACCTATTCAATGCTTAATGTTATCATCCATGTCCAATACCATGCTCTCCGTATGCTCCAAGCGCCAAGCGGTCGCTTTGGATTTCCACCTCACATCACATCACCTCCACCTCCCAGATTTGCTACCCACATTACTTCGTCCCTCCTCCTCTTCTTCTTCTTCTTCTTCCTCCTCCACCGGCGCTGGTGTCCTCCTCTCCGTTCGCCTCTTGTGCCTCCTACGCCTGCTCGAACTGACGTTTGACGCCGAGTCATCAGGTGCGATTTCCGACATTCCATCGTCAATCCCATCGTCCGTCTCACTCTCCCATGCCTTGTGCCCTTCAATATTACTAGCCGGAGTGCCCATCATCGAATCTATATCGAAGATCCCCCTCCTTCTTTGGTTCGCTTGAGCGAGGCCTGCCCCGCGCTCTCGAAGAGCCTGACGGACAGCTTCGGCCTTGTAGTGTAGAGCTTCGAATGCGTGCTCAAGATGGTCCATCGAGGAAAAGATCTCGCGCTCGACTTCGGCCAGGACGGCAATTTCGGTTTCTTCGTCGAGAGCAACGGGGGCACCGGCAGTTGCAGGAGCGGGAGTTGGACCGCGAGAGAAAGGTGTAGGACCTCTGGAGGGCGGCATTGAAGGGGTGGTCATGCGAGGTGCTGGGTAGGAAGCTCGGGATGCACCGCGGGAAGGAGGTGGAGCAGGAGCAGTAGTGATGGGGTGATCGTCGGCGCCGCTTCGGAGAAAGCCGTCGAAGCGGCCAGAAGTGAGAATGTCCCATTCAGGGTCACTGATGGCAGCTAGGGTGGCGAGGACGTTATGTATGACTGGATTGTTCAAGAGGTACATTGCGGATTCGGGATCTCGTGGAGGTTTCGACAAGCGATAGAGACGTTGAATGGCAAGCCCAGTCTTCTGCGATAACACTGACTCGGGACTGGCTGATACTGCTTCTGCCGCAGATGGCGCTGTTGAAGGTGGTCTGCTTGGCTGCACTCCAGCCAAAGACGAGAAAATATGTCGTTGCTCGGGCTCTAGGCGAGTCAGCATGGCGAATGTCAATGTTTCATCATCGACATCTTGGGGAGGACTGGATGGTTGTTGTGGTTGACTGTCAAGCCATCGGTCCACAGTCATCTTAGTCTTCTTTGACTGTCGAATGTAATGGTCTCGGAATTCTTCGGGAACATCCATATCCAACTTCTGCATTGGAGGAACGTGGTCAGCAGAAGAGATGCCCAGACCAGCTTGTGTAGAGTCCATCACGAAAGCAGGCCATTGTGGTAACTCCTGCCTTCCGCATACGTACTCCAAGATTTCGCCCCAGCTAACACCTCGCTTCTCCTCAACTTCGGCCTCGGAGAGTGGGGACATCTGACATAACATGCATGTGCAGGTCTCCGATGAGATATCTCTTGCAAAGACAGCCTCTAACCGATCAAGGAGTCGACGAGCAACAGAGCGATATCCGGTAGCCACAGCTAAGGATCCACTGCGGGATATGACTTTGGTATAGTCCTCTAGTATTTTGCTTAGAGGACCAAAGAACTTCTCGGCTTGCGCAGCTACTGTAGAAATTGGAAGGGGTGCCTGCGTAGGTAGCCCGGCACCTAGAAGACTTCTGGGCACACTTTGCGGCAAACCTCCATTTTGCATCAGATAGTCAACTCTTGGCATTGGGAGTTCAAGAGCTGGCGGGGGCGGTGGTGGCATTGGCGATTCTCCCAATGCACTCGCGATCCCATAATCGTTGAGCGTGGAGAGAGCAGGGGTTTCCTTCCGACTAGGCGGGAATCGCGGCTCCGCGAGTGTCGGCGTCCTAGGTGAGGAGTCGGGGTCGGTGGCTGGAGATGAATCACGTTCTGCGAGGGGCGTGATTGGTCGTTGTACTTTCGTTTGATTTGGGGCGATTGATGTTGCGTCGGAGTTGTTGGTCGAGCCCTTGCTTATCTCGCTCTTGACGACTGATGACTGAGTGGACGATGCTGACCGACGGAGGCTCGTGCCTGATGCCGAGTCTTCGACTGTCGCAACCTTTGGTCTGAGCTTCGAAGGTGTGTCAGGCTTTGAGTTCCTCCCAGACTTTGTAGGTTTGTCCTCCTCTTGTCCAGACTCCCGAATGCTGGTCCTTGATCTGGAAGGATGTGGTGACCGGTCCTTTTCTCGGTCACTGGCGCTTGATCCTGATCGCCCAAGCTTCCTCTTCCAGTCATCCGCATGCTTTTGTAGATCTGTACCCTTACGCTCCTTCTTGACAGTGTCCCCCTTGACCTTCTCCATCGTGACCTTCTGATCCATCGTCGTCTCCGGCGGACTTGGAGGCGCCCGATGTGGAGGAGGCATGTTTGTAGTATCTTTGAGTTCCGCTTCACCTCCCGAACCCTTCCCTCGGTCCAGGTCGGTAGGATCTGGGGTATAGTAGCTCATCCTGGGTTGGACAACATTTTCCCTGCTCCCAACCGCCTCCTTACTATGTGCCTTGGAGAATGATGGGTATGCTAAGCTTGTCTTACTTGCAAGGGCCGACTCTGTTGCGGGTCGTTTCTCCAATCCTGGTACCGGCATTGATGCTCTCCGTGGCTTGGGAGCTGGTGAGGTGTTGGTAGACCTGCGCTCTGGCGGGGTGGAAGCTTTGTCGCCTTTGCGGGTTGATCGTTTCGACTTGTGTCTTGACTTTTCCTTTGATCTCGGTGTATCTGGATCCCTCTCCCTTTCTTTGTCTCTTAGTTTCGAAGGCATAGTGAGAGATGGAGAGAGGTGCGAAGAATTGGACGATGGGCTAGTTAAGCTCTAGGGCGGGGTGGAATGGTGTCAGAATTGAGAGAGATATAGATGTGTGGTGGCGGATGCGGTTGGTTGCATTGTCTCACAATTTTCTTGGCTGCTCAAGTAGGTGCTGCTGGCGGCGCATGGGAATGGGAAGAGGAACGAATGAGAGGAAATATGCAGGTGATTGCAAGAGGGCGAAGAGCCAGTAAATTTGGACAGTCAATGGTTATAGGGTAGTATGAATAAATGTAGCATGTAGCCAGAGGTCAGCCGATGGAAAGGATGGGTTCATGAGTTGCAGCTGTTACTGGACCAATTAAAGTCAAGTATTCTCGCTACTGAAGATGCATATTGCATCCATCGTTGATGTTCTCGACTGTTGACGGCCAGCTCATGGCGCTACTCGTAGGCTTGGCATTTAGCGTAAATCCCTGCCCTGCCCATCCGCTTTAGCGCTATGCACCTCCACCCAATCTCACCCAACATCTCACACACACTCTCTTTTTTCTCTCGCTCTCTCTCTCTTTACTTATACATTGATCAAGTTTCAATCACTGCTGTAGCACAATTCATACCAATGTAAATCATGATGATTGAGGTCACAATACGAGCAAAGACTGAGATGATTGCCGAAGTATCAAGCCATACAGAGCCCGGGCAAGAATCGAAGCCGAGGATCTAGCCAGTCCAGAGCATTCAGCCCAGACTCCAACAGAAAATGAGTCCGTGAAAGCCTGGCAATACAACATCGGCCATTCACTGTCATTTTTGCCAACAGTACGCTTGTTTGCGGCGTAAAGCGAAAAGTGAAAAGTCATGGGACTTCACTTTCCTCCGGATCATTGCGCATTGACACACAGCAGGCTCTGGAAAGCTGTAGTCACGAGTTCAAGCTCAAACTTCGTCATATCATGCCTTAGTATCATGTCTTAACTCTTCCATAATAGCGGCATTTCCATTGAGCAGCAAGTCTCAGAATGAAACAAAATCTTCCATCCACATCTATGAAATCATTCCCAGTCAATCTGTACATCTTCAAACACATCTACCCCTTACCCCCCCTTAACCCCCCGTGCTACAACAACAGACAGTCGTACCGCCCAAGCTCCCCTCCAAACACGATGCGGCCGTCAAGCTCCTCCCCTCCGAAGCCAACAGCACCCGCAAGAACCCAGCGACTGATCTCAACCATGTTCTCGATAAGCTACACCACACCACAGAGCTCCAGCATGTCTCCCAAGCCCCAAAAATCGAACAACCGCAGAAAAACGTCAGCGACGCAGCCATGACGAAAGTGCACCGAGACCCCAAATCGCTCCAAGTAGCCGAACCCAAGACCCTGCTCCGCGCAGCCGGCCAGTCCGTGTCCGGCCACAAAGCAGAGCTGTTAGATCGTTTAATGGGAGTAGGTGACGACGACGATTACTTCTCCATAGACGAAGATGGCAACCGACTCCCGCCCCGCGACATGAACCCCCAGTGTCTCCCGCCCGCTCCGCACCATCCCCTTTGACGGCAAAAGACTCGACCCCGCCTCCCTCGTCGGGCACCGCATCCAACGCTTCCAAATCAGCGCGGACCCAGGCTCCGTCTTGCCCACCGATCAAGGCCCCGTCGCCATCACGTTCCCGGGAGTCGCGTTCTCCAAATACGCAGACAGTGCGGCCGACGCGGCATTCGCTGGCGGGACTCGAGTCCGTCGAGCAAGTGACCGAAACGTCGTACCTCGGCTGGCGCGTGCGGAACGCGAGACGCGGGAGAAGAAAGAGAAGAGGTCTGCTGACCGTAAACGCGGCGGTCGTCGGCTTGAGGGAAGGGTCCGGACGTCGGGGAGAACAGGGTCGTGGGGATCCGGTGCGAGGGGATGCGGCAGATGGGGGGTTCCGTGTTCGCGGAGGATGACGTGCGGGATGTTTGGTTTGCTACGGGCGGGCGCGCAGGTGCGGGGATGTGATGTGGCCGAGGCTTGGACTGGGAGGGGGGTTCGGAAGCCGGAATGGGAGCGGTGACGGTGGGTTTCCGATACGGACGGAACGGCAGCATCACGTGCCGGCAAAGCACAGCATACATAGCTCATCATAAGCTCTCTCGCACGAATGACTCATAGCCAAGCTGCCCGGTTCGTGCCCCCAAACGTTTCAACAGCGAAACCAAAGGCCCAACCTATCATCCATCAACAGCAAAAGAGTCTACCCTAAATTCACCATTCACCACCCCCCAGCGCCAATATCCAGCACCTTTCCCTCCCCCCCAATCCCCAGCCCCAAACACCGTCCGTTCCCAGTGGCCGCATACGCCCCAACCGCAACCCCTACCTCTCAGCCGCAAGCACGGACCTCAAAATCCCCCGACCCTTCCCAAACCCGCGCGATTCCAACCTTCATCCCCGATTGCCCAATCCGTTACATCCAATCCAGCTTGAGATTACAGCGCTCGTTATCGCATCTCATCACTTGCGGTCTAGGACCGGGGGGTGGGTGGTGGGGGTGGCTCTTTTGAGGAGGGGGAGGAGGCGTGGGAGGAACGCATGGTGTTTACGTTGGGCCGTTGTATGATCGGATGTGGGTTCCTTGACGTCTTCGGCTGTGGTGCGTGTGTTGGCGGAGACTTTGGGTTTCTGTGAGTCGGATGCGTGGGTCAGGAGTGAGAGGAAAGGCATTGTTTTGGGTGGGAGAGATGGCGAAGGATCTTACCTCTCGGATGTTCTACATGGGAATGATGGCGGTGGATGTGAGATGAAGGGGAGGAATGCGGAGCGCATTTCACTTGCCATTTACAACAAGGGGCAAAACGGTTGCGATAATGCGGTAAAGATTCCAGAGATTTGGATAACAAAGGCCAAATTTGGAACAAGAACCAGGTGACGAAAGCTTGTTTGCGAGACAATGAAATTTTATCAGAGCGTGATGAAGCAACGATAATAATGAACCTATGCCGCGGTCGTAGGTTTCTAGCCAAAGAGATATTATTCTCGAGGGGATCAAGACGCCTTGCCATCTTGATATGCCTGCCTGAAAGGCTTGAAATCTGGTTTGAGATACGGCTACTAGGTTTTCCTCGGCGAGCTCAAGCAGTGAGGCCTGCAGAGTCATGCTGCCGTGGTTCACCGGCTGCTTCAAAGTGCCCGTTGGTGATCCCGATCGCCTGCGACGATGACCCAGCAGGACCCCATGTGACATTATGACTTCTTCCAATCATGTAATCTATAGTCGAGTTGTCATAATCCCACTCGAAGGTTACTTGATTGGGTAGTAGTTGGTCATGCAGTCGTGGCTGCTTCAGTGCTTGATGCACTGTCATCTTCCGCTCAAGGATATTGAGCGCAGTTTGGATGACGGTGGTGATGATACGTGATCCACCTGAAGCGCCAAGGATCGCAAACAAAGTGCCATTGGCGGATTCGGCCATGATGGGTGTGATGGATGACATTGATCGTTTGTTCGGCCGGACATAGTTGGCTGGAGAAGGATAGTACCCAAAGACGTTGGAGATATTGGGAACAGAGAAGTCTGCCATTTGATCGTTCATTATGACTCCTGTCTCTGGTACCATTACCCCAGAGCCAAAGAAGAGGTTGACAGTGGTGGTCATGGAGATGGCCATCCCAGATGCGTCCGCAGTGGCAACATGGGAAGTACCATGGTTCTCATGGCTCTCGAAGCCATCCGGATCATAATCTGAGACATTGAGCGTGTGTCTGTCGGATATTCTGGCCCTAATTTCATCGGCGGAAGTCTGGTCGAGCATTCCGGCTTCGTAGGCGGTAATACCATCCACGAAGTCCGGATCTCCTAAGCTCGCTCTCTTTCCGTACCCAAATCTTATAGCTTCATCCAATCTGTGGGTGCTCAGATTCATCGTGTGTCTCTGTCCAAAATCTTCATATCCCTCTAGGACCTTCATCACGCTCAAAGCTACTGCACCTGAAGCAGGTGCACCGCATCCATGGAGACGAAAGCCTTTGTATTCGATCTGTACTGGCGTCCTCGATATTATTCTGTATTTTGCCAGGTCTTCCATGGTCATTGATCCATTGGTTTCATGTAACGCACGGATCGTAGCCTCTGCCAATTGGCCTTCATAAAAGGCATCTGGTCCTGATACCGCGATGGCCTCCAATGTACGTGCATAGCGCTTGCGGGTCATAACATCTCCTGCCTCGACTCTTGTGCCATTCGGAGCAAAGTCTTCCGCCCATGTCGGCTCTTTGCTGAGGAAGTCGTAGCCATAGTATGCAGTGGTAAGTGCCATCGCTTTTGCAAAGTCTCTGCCGACAATGAATCCATCCCGTGCAAGATTGATGGCCGGCTGAACCAGCGTAGACCAGGGGAGGAAGCCATGGTTTTCATGGATATAGTGAAGGCCTTTGATCTCGCCGGGGACTCCACTGCCATACCTTAGCCACAGAACTGAAAATCAGCGCTGTCAAAATACCTTGCTAAACCACCAAAGACCGATCCAAGGACATTGTTCTTATACATATCTCGGAAAGCTGCGGCAGGCGCGGTCTCTCGAAAGTCGACGGACTCATAGCTGCCATTCGCCGATCGAACAAGGGCGAAGCCACCTCCTCCTAGTCCGCTATGATGGCAATCTGGCTACATTCAGCTCCGCCGCACTGTTTTGGGGGAGGGGTTGCTGACCAACCACGCCAATGCACAGAGTGGTTCCTACAAGCTGTCCCGACCGTCAGTTATGCCAGCGGAAAAGAGGATTCACTACTTACAGCGTCAGCAGCATTGCCGCCAGCCTTCAGCAAATCAATGCCTATCTGGCTGCAAACTCTGTTCTCAGAGGCGACAGCGCCGAGTCGGTCATGCTTTGTTTGTTGAGCTTGAAGGTCAAGTAAAGCCTGAGGCGGCGCAAAGTCTGCACACGAGAGACTGAGAAAGGAACATATCGAGGTGATATACCCAATCCTCCGCCAAGTGCAACGAGTCATTTCATACAGGGAAGTTGTATAGAAAAACACAACCTAGGAGCGCAGAGCGATAAGACAGCCCTTGTGGTAAGGCTGAAACGCGTCTACCTTATCAAGCGCGCGTCACCCAAAATGTCCAAAAATAGAGTACCAATTCGCTCCAGGGCTCCGAATTCATTATCAAAACATTGGTCTTTCTCACATGTCCAGTCGGAATAGGGGATGTCTGTTCTGCAGCGACGCTGCAAGGGAAGCCGCTATGATTTGTCGTTCCCAGCTGCGTAATGGTTCTATAGGGATTACCTCTGCTGGCATGTATCATTGCAGATATCGCTCTCGCCCGCGTATGAATGAGGGGGTTGTCTAGCTGCAAAACACGATGGATAAGGGCGGAAGCGTCTTCTATTACACTCACAGTCACAGTAGCAGGTACCCTTATTCACCAGAGCAGCACTCTGAGTTTGTGTCACTCTGTTCTACTCTACCGTCCTACCACGAGCGTCACCCCACCAATATCGAACATGATCGAGAATCGATGAAACGGCTACAGAATGAGGAGGCAGAACACTACACGGCGGAGATACGGGAAGGAGGCCAAAGCATTTTCGGCGAGAGTGGCTATCGTGCGCGGCTCTCCGTCTTGGGCCCCGGGGCTTCAAAGTTTCGTCTGATATCGACGCATATCCATAATGACAAATGTCCGCCGAGATCTGGCATCTTTCAAGTTTCAGCACGGCGTGACCCATCTCACTTGGACGTCGTCATCAATTGTATGCTCGCAGTTAAAGCATGCCACATTTGATGACCGAAGCTGCCATTTGCAATCCTCGTCTCCTTGTACCGTTTGGCCTTCTAACGAGAACCTGCTTTCTGTGTCCGCAAGAGGCAGCCGTTAATTGAGCCTGATCGCCCGCCTTTTCGTGCCAGCAGGTCGCTTTTACCTTGTATTTCCAGCATCATCAAAGTAGGGTGACAATTGGCTCTAGATTTACGTCTGTATCTTATTGGCCGAGGCATGTGGCTACACTGTGGTGCTTGTCATGCGATGTTCAAATGGTCATTTGCTCTCTGGACTGACGCCTTGCTCTAGGTAAGAGGGATGACACCTTTCTGACGATGACTGCGAAGGATATAATTAGATTGCTGAGTAATGCTCCGCAGGAAGCCTCTGCATGGAAGATCAGTATACACAGAGCGGTCAGCGATGCTACCGGATTCGTTCTTACCTTTGAGAATCAGCATCGCAGCGATGACGATTACCTAGTTAAGGCACAAAAAGAATTGAACTCGATCGAATTTACGGATCTGCATAATCTATCCAGTCATGGTGAATAAGCCTATGTCGCACCGAGAACCCCCAACAGTCACAATGGAATGAGCGCGCCCCTCCACCGACTGTCATCTGCCGAGCTGCAGGTTTCCCATCATTGAAGATACGTTAACAGGATCTGATGGAGCAGTAGAAGCTGGCACCCCCACTTGCCCAGCGCTTGTTTCAGCAGGTTTCGCTTCTTTGTTCTTGAACCATGGGGCTTCTCTTAGTGCATTCTTCTGTATTTGCCAGACAGGTTCTCCTAACTCAATCAGCCGTTCACCAAAGCTCGCAAGAAGACCCGACACTTCCTCATCTTGCACGTGCTCCTCAACGAAGTCTGGGGGATTTTGACATTCTTCGTCCGTGGAAACTGGAAACGTTGCGTTCTTCCAAGCCGCTTTCCACTCATTGATAGCAGCCAATGCTTCTGGATGATGAGGCTGCACGTTCTTAGCGATGAGGTAGAACGAGCCTCTTGTTTTGTGACTTGTGACTGGCTTGAACAATTCAATCTGGGAGATTGCATCGAACACGCTGAGTAATTTCATCGTCCTCCAGATCTCGACTTTGTGAAGCAGCATGATGAAAGTCCCGCCGGGCTTGATACGCTGCATTGCCAGTATGAGTTGACTACACGACAACCGTCCAGCCTCGCGGCGTTCACGATAACTTTCGATATGCGGTGCGTGTGTACGCAAGACCTGGCCATCGCAGAATACAAGGTCGAATGATTTCGTAGCCCAAGGTCGTTTGAGGGAGAAGTTCAAGACGTCCGGATGACCCTCTGGGATATCTGTTACGCCATATTCCGCTGTTAGCATTGTGATGTCGGCCAACTGAACGTCGACGCGTGGATCAATGCGGCCGTAGGGTATCAGTAGTTGATGGCCACCGAGAGACTTGGGCAGTGTTATACCGGAGACACACGCATGCGGAGAGTATTTGAGCGCCGATGCGCTATAGCCGCCCGGGGCCATGCAAATATCAAGGACTTCTGCATGGGGTTTGGGGAGACTTAGAGTCCCAGAGGCCGCTTGGAGCTCGTCTCCAATCCGCTGCATTAGGTTATAAAAGCCTTTTCGTACTTTGTAGGACGCTTCATCCGCGTCTCGCCGCTGCTTTTGAAAGTGCTTGTCGCCTTGCGGATTGTTCCATCCCTGCCAAATGCTATCAATATCGCCTTTCATGCAGTACGAGAGTTGTGTGCGAGGGGTCTCGGGTCGTGAGCTTACTTACTTCTTCTCTCAGCTCTGCTAGTTCGCGGAATATCCTTGAGTGAGCGATTAGAAAGGTGGTTATGAGTCGGTCCGATGGATCTGACTCTCGAGAGCGTGTATCATTGATCAGTGGCACGGTATTCGCAAGATTATCACCCATGGTTGAGAGTTAGAACGCGTAGCAACGACACTGCCGGTGCGTGAACAAGACAGAAGACCGGGACCTATTTCTGAAAATGAGGGGAGCGACTGAGCCCTATAGCCTTGTGAGAAATACAAGTTACCACAATTCTGGAAGTTTCCATGCATATCATGTCCTTGGGCTAGCCTCAAGGAAGGCCGCCTACGCTGATCTTACCTCAAGGGATTTCATGCATTACACCCCTGTTCGATACATGTACACTCCCTCTAATCGATAATGTGTCAGCTGTTTTGGCCCAGCAACTTTGACCTGCATTCGAAAATCTTTCACACCGGTGACTGTTGGAGGAGTCGAGTTCGTCCCCTATAGAATCATCTTAAAAACGCAACAACTTTAATACGTATATTGTTGGTAAATACCTGGGTATGCAATTACTGCTATAATGAGACTTATTACTAGATATAATATTCTTAATAATGTCTAAGAAAGAAGGATATCTATATATAGAGAATGCCTTTATATATCTATGACTAGATTGAATAAGTATTAGTGATAGCGAGTGTTAAGTCGTTCTAATACTGGTAAAAAATAGAAAATAAGGCTATTTATATATTATATTCCTTCTCCATAACTCCTATAATCGCAATTACTCCCTCTACTATAATGAGTATAGATCTAATTATACTAGACGTATTTCTAATAGTACTACGCTAAGATAACTTTCTATTAATTAATATTAATATCTTATCTTTCCACCTAGCCTTCTAGATCTAGTTCTAGATAATTTATATTTACTAGACGTTATAGTGCGTTATATTCCTTATCCTTTATTATTAAATCGATTAGATTTTTATCTTCTCTAATTTATAGAATCTCGGTAATCTCTTATTATTTATATAATTATTTTAGATATAGAATATTTATTATTAATCTTTTCTCTTATATTATCTCTAGCTTAATAAGATATTTATATAAAGATTTCGAGTCTATATATATAGAAAGAGGTATTTTTCCCTAGAGAGTATTAGAGAAGATTTAATTTAGAGTAGACTTAATAGTAACTATAACGTCGAATTCTAGAGATAATATATAAAGTTTAAAGGCTAATATACTTCTAGTAACTCGACGATATTTAATTAATTATTATAGATAATATTAATCTTATTCTAAGCGTTAGCTAAGACTATTATATAGCCGATTTAAAAAGAGAGATCTTTATTATTAGCGAATAACGAATTTATAAAAATTACGATTTTTAAAGACGTTATATCTAACTTAATAAATATAAAGCCTCTTTTTTTTATTTATTATAAAAGATAGCGATTTAGATACTAAATATTCTTATATATAGATTCTATAATCTAAGCAATATATAATAAAGCGAATATCGCTTATAACTATAATATAGTAGTAATATATATTTCTTATACTCGCTAAGCGATATATTATTCTTTTATAAATAATTTTATAAATAATTAAATCTTCTTCGCTTATCTAAGTTAGCTAATTTTTATATTATCCTTAAAAATAATAATAAATTTATTAAATTCGAGAGATTATTTTAAAGTAAGTCTCTCGTATAGCTTAGCTAGTAGTTTAGCGACGTATAATTCTTATAATTTTATATCTATAAACTCGATAGTATTGGCGATAAGAGAGTTATCGGTTTATAAGCTAACAATTACTATTATATTATTATTAAATAGTAGATAAGTATCGAATATAGATGAGATTATTCTTAGCTTCTTTATATAATATTTATAATATATTTAAAACTAGTAAATATCGAACTTAGTAATTTTATAGAGAGAAAGAATAATATAAAATATTATTCTCGATAATAGTTTTATTTTAGCTAAGGCTAAAATAAAGATATCTCTAATTAACTCGAATCGAGATTATATATATATCTAAGTAATATCGCGTAGATATAGAGATAGCTATAGAATAGCTAATATTAGAGTAATAATAAGTTATTAACTAGTCTATTAAATAATAAGAGCCTAAATAAGAATTCTATACTTCTTTAAGTTATTAAATACTTATACTACTAGTCACAACTTCTTAAAGACTTTCTCGATACTCTTATTCTTAATTTAGTCTATAAAATAACTACTAAATATCCGTGCTTTTATAAAAATATCTTCGATCTTTATAATCTTAAATACCCCCTTTTTAAGTAGTTTATTAAGTTCTTTTTATCGAAATATCTAGAAGTTCGATAAAGATAAATATAATATAAACTTAGATATATAGATCATAATATTAGTAGAGTTTCGAAAATAAACGAAAATATATCGTCGTCAAGAAGAGTTATAACGTAGTAAAGCGTTTTAGAGAGAGTCTTAATAATCTTAATTATCGTTATTTTTATATTAAATATCATCTAACTATAGAGATTCTTATTTAAGAAACTCGCAAGATTCGATTAAAGTATCTATTTCTTTTAAATATAGTTTAATAATAATAACTCGAAAATTAGTAGAATTATTTAATAATTCGATAGTATATATCTCTCGAGAAGTAGTTAGCAATTTATATAATCCGATTTACTTCTTTTAATACGTTTTTTAAATTAATATCGAGAAATTAATTAAAGTATTATATATTCTTATAGTTTAAAGACTATTTCGCTAATATAAGGCGTTATTAATCTATCTCTTAGCGTAAAGTTTTATAACTTCGATTATTACTATATTAATAGCTTTTACCCTCTTAATAATAGATAAAATTAATATATCGTCGTTTATAATATAGAGAAAGGTTCTAAAAATTAGTAATATAGAAATGAGATTATTATATTCGACTATATCGTTAATAGTCTTAATAGTTATTTATAGATAAATCTTCTTTCTAATATCTTAATTTTTTAATTTCGCAGTGATTATCGAATAAACTTATCTTAATAGAGTATAATATCGTTTTACTAAGTCGATAGAATTAGCAACCTTAATTAATACGTATTTCGTTTAAATACTTAGAGTTCTAGCGTTTTATTTAAACTCGATATTATTAAAGTTAGTTCTAGCGTTATAGATAATAACGTCTAAAGATTTAATATATATATCTATCTAGTATAATCTAAGTATATTCTATATATAAGAGATAGTTATATTTATTAATTATTAGACGATCTAAAAAGAAGTTCTCTTATTAATAACTTATAGAATTAGACTATTATTAATATAAAGAATATTAATAATAATTATATAATTAAAATAGATATTATCCTTATTTTTAAATAAGAATTTAAAACGATCTAGAGATCGAGAGTACTTCTAATAAAGTGTATAAAACTCGATAATTCGTTTAAGTATATAATAATATTTAAAGTTATCGTAGCTAGCTTTCTTTAGAGTTCGAATAAATTTATTAATTAAGAAATAATCGAATCGACGATATAGTTAATATAACTCGGTGTTAATTAGATAATTAATTAATATAAGATCTTATATTAAGAATAAATATTTATAAAAGCGAATAATTAAGACCGTAGAATTATTTCTTAAAATAACTTAATCTTTAAGATTATTTAGATAGATTTCTAATTTATTTATATCTTAAATATATAGTAGAAATAGAATATTAATCTATATTATATAAAAGTCGACTTAACTAATAAACGAATTCACTATAAGTTTTCTAATTAATACTATTATCT